ACCACACATCTTATTCTCATTTTGACGATGATGATCTTAAGTGGCCACAAAAAACCGAGATTTTCTTTATTTTTTTCATTGGAAATTCATGATATTTGCTTTTTTGAGCAAATATTCATTGATTTGTGAAAAAGCACAAGAGATCAATAGATAGATAGTGTGTGTGAGTGCTGAACCTAACCGATAACAGAACATTCTTTTTTGGTCAGTATTTTTTATCCAATTTTCCTTCTCTTATCAAACTTGAACTTGGACAAAAAGCAGATTCATTATTTTTCATCAGTTTTGCACTGGTATTGCACATGCGTGGCAGATTGTTTCTAATTTTTCGAAAAAATCTAAAACAATTATACAATTATCGATCATGTGTGTAAATGGATAAATTATTTGTTGTTTGTTTTGTTTTTGTGTTGGCGCGTAAACAGCGAGAAAATTTTCAGCTTAATTAATTAAGTACACAGAATTTTTCAATTGTAGACTTGGAATTTATCATATTTGTTCTTTGTTTTATCATTATTCTAATTCGTTCATTTGATTCTTTTTTGATAGTAATGATGATGATGAAACTTTTTTTCAGTTTTTTATTTGCCATTTATTACCATTGTTCATTCAATGATGATAATGATTTTGGAAAACAAAACAAAAGTTATCAAAATCAGTATTGATGATGCTGGTGAATTTTGCTATTTGAATTTTTTCCAGGTATTTTTCATTTAAAGGAATGCTTTTCCCTCGCTCCCTATCATTGATGATTTATTTGATTTATATTTAAATTGATAACATGAAAAACTTTTAGTTATGAATGATAAGTAAGAATCTTTCGAACAAGAAATCGAACAAAAAAAATTTGAATTTAAATTTATGGTGCTTTTTTGTTTCTTCGGGGATCCTTTCAGAGAGAAAAAAACAGAAATGAAATTCACATTTTTGTTTTGTCAACAAACTTTTTGACAAAACAAAGTAGTAGTTTCCGATACAGAAAAGTATATTCATCATGTTGAATGATGGTGAATCTCAATCGAGAAATATAAAAACAAAAAACTCTTGACTTTTCATTTTGCTATTTAAAGAATCCATTTAATCATCACACACACGTTATATTCATATTCGATTCGATTACCAACGGCTAATGGATGAATCAACGACGATGATGACGATTGAAATGGAGCAATTTTGAATGTTAGCATCCGAAAAACTCTATACATAGATAATCTGATTATTTCGCTCAACTCATTTGGTTTTGTTTTGTTCGTCAAGTTGATACTTAATGAAAAACATAATTAAATTTAGTTTTGGCATCGATCAATCAATCAATTTTCGGTTGACTAAAATGCATACACTTGTTTATTTGCACCACAAAAATTCATTCATTCATTCGTTTAATGGTTAATGCTGGATGTTTTTGTTTTGCTATATTTGCATTTAAGCTTATCATAACCATCGTCATCTTAATTTTCAATTTTTATTCATTCATTTCAAACTAATATGATAGGATGAGTCTAAATATTTACTTAATAATTCCCTTTTTTCTGTTCAACAATCAATTTCTAATGATTTTTTCTCATATATGTCAGTTAATATCTTGTTCGTTTGATTGGATTCAATTTTTCGGTTTGGTTCGGCTAATTTAACGTTTAATTTTTATTATTTCAAGGAACGATTAACCAAACCAGACAAAAAATCAACTGAAAAAACAGATTGATTTTTATAGAGATTTGTTTTTTTCTTATTATTACAGACAATTTTGATCTTACTTTCTGTTTTTGTTGTTTGGATGTAATTTGATTCATTCGGACACAATAAAAAAACGTTGTTCGGTCAAATCAGATCGAATCAAGAATCGAAAATCAAATCAGACGACGGAAATTGATTTTTTTTTGTTTGAATTAACTATAAAACAATAACAATAATCATTTTTGTTGGCAATGTGATGCACCCAATAAAAAAAGAAAATCCAAAAATTATATGTCCTTCTGGAATGGACTTTTTGGCAAAGAAAAATTCTCATAAGCTAATGTCAGCTGCATACGATATTCACTGATTTTTTATGGTTCGAATAAATTTTATTTTCAAAAAATGAAAAATTGTAACATTTTCATTTGTTTGTTAGTTTGTCTGGTCATTTTCTTAAAATCTCAAGTGTAATTTATCACACCCAAAAACAGAAATTCGAAATATTTTTTAAAAAATAAAACAAAAGTCTATTGGGAAATTCATGATGCTTTTCTCACCAAAAAAATATATTCACCTTCCAGGCAATTCGAATTGCATGAAAATTTTTCTAAAAAAATCTGTTGAAATCTTTTTTTATCCCCTGGTCACTGTTATCAAAAATTTTTTTGTTTTGTTTTATTGCAAAAAATCCTATCAAGAATTTTGATAATTATTTTGTTCACATGATTATTACATCAATCTTACTTAATGATGATGCTTGGCAACCAAGAAGCTTAGTTGTTTTTTTGTTAATCCAAAATTTAATTGAAAAAATTTTCATTATCATAGTGTCCATTTTTTCTAAATGTCAGCTTTACTGCTATTATTTGGATAACTGCGAACATTGCTCAATAGATGGCGCTTTTCATAGTCATAGTCATCAACCTAACCTCACTCAACTATGAATCACAGTCATAGTCATAGTCATCAACCTAACCTCATTGAACTATGAATCACAGTCATAGTCATGGCCATCAACCTAACCTCACT